TAAATTTGAATAATAGTGGTATTCTCTGGGCTTCCCTGTAGGCTCATGGATATTATCCTATCACAGACAGCGTTGTACCTCATGATGGATCTGGATATGTTCTTTTTGACAATGACTGCAGCATCATTGCTCTTCAATTTGTCATTCCCGGCATAGTAAACCATGTGATTGTCAGATTCAAAATGGCCAGTACCTGTCAATTTCAGCTCACTAATGCCTAAGATATCGATGTTTATGTGTTCCATTTCATTTTTGACAACTTCTAATTTTCCCAGATTCATACTTCGTACATTCCATGTTCTGATTTTCAATGGCTGTTTACAGTTGTTTCTCTTCATTTTGAGTTGTGCCCCATCAGCAAATGAAGGGCCCGTGGGCTTTTCTCTCAGGGGCTTTACTCCATTCGCGTCATCTCGGTGAACTCTACTTTGAGGAGGCAGTTCTACCCTAGTCGTGTTTTGAGTGCCTTCCAACCTGAGGGGCTCATTTTCCGGCACTATATCTGACAGTGTTTCTCTGCTATTCATAATGTTTTCAGTGACTAAATATTCGGAAGTAGTTTGTCACTCTTTCTTCCTAGTCTTTGTCTGGAAGCTCATCTGAAACCTGTCCACCATGGGTGACCCTGCTGGCATTTAAAATACCCGTGGCATAGCTTTCAGAATCACAGCAAATCACAAGCTGCCACAGTACAAAAAACTGACAGACAAGTGGTGGCTGTAAAGATTTACAGTCTCAGAAACCCTGTACAGAGTCACAATGAGTCAGAACCGTCTCCACGGCACATAACCACCACCACTTAACTAAAAGGTTAGACCTACCTAGGGATGCATGGGAAGTAAGGTCTGGCCATGTGCTTCTGAAAGGTCACAATCCTGAAAACCCCGTGAAGCAGTTCTACCTTGCACACGTGGGGTTGCCATAAGTTGAAATCAACTCAGTGGCAAACAATAGCAACAAATGATAGATTAATTACAGTTTCCATTGTTTGGTGTATAGTTAGTTTGTGTATAGTTAGTTACATTAAATAGTTTGTAGTGACTAATTATTATTAAAAGGAGCTCTGGTAGCGTAGTGGTTACGAATTGGGCTGCGAACCGTAAGGTCAGCGGTTCGAAACTACCAGCCGCTCCGCGGGAGAAAGATGAGGCTTTCTACTCCTGTAAAGATTTACACCCTCGGAAACCCTGTACAGGGTCACTATGGGTCGGAACCGACTCAACGGCACTTAACAACAACAACAACAACAATTATTATTAAAGGAGCTCTGGTAGCGTAGTGGTTACGAATCGGGCTGCTAATCTCACGGTCAGCAGTTCGAAACTACCAGCTGTTCCGTGGGAGGAAGATGAGGCTTTCTGCTCCTGTAAAGATTTATAGCCTCAGAAACTCTGTATAGGGTTGCTTTGAGTTGGAACCAACTCCACGGCACATAACAACAAATTATTATTAAGTTATATAGTTGTATATTTACATTTTTTAAAACTTTTCTCTAATCTTGTTGTTGTTGTTAAGTGCCATCGAGTCAGTTCTGACTCATAGCGACCCTTTATAGGGATATTCTTACACATACTAAATGTTTTCCGTTTTCATTTACTGTAGTTTAATATTTATTCTGCAGTTATTTGAGTTAAATGTCCTCCTTTGTTCATTGTCCCACAAATTGTCTGGTTTGAATAATTGTTGTTGTTGTTATTAAGTACCATTGAGTCTGTTACAACCTATAGCAACCCTGTATAGGGTTTCCAAGGAGTGACTGGTAAGCTTGAACCAGCAACCTTGCAGTTCAGATGGCTTTGCAGTCTGGCATATTAACCTACAACGCCATACCAGGACTCCAGATGTATTATATACATATATAAAATTAAGTGTGTGGGGTGCTGTGGAGTAGGTTCTGATCAGCAACCCTGTATAGGGTTTCTGAGGCTGTAAATCTTTATGGGAGAAATAAACTTCATCCTTTCTCGCGCACAACAGGATCAGTTGGTAGTTTCAAATCATAAAAGTCAGTCAAGTTTATTTCCTACCCATATGAAGAAGGAAAATTGGAAAGTTCATATGTGCAGATAACGTTTATATGCAAAGTGCAATCTGTGATTCCTTAACTGCTTCTGTGTGGCAGAATGCTCTAGTTTAACAAGAAGTTAATTTGGACAGTGTTAAAATTTGAAACCTCTTGACTATTGAGATAAATTTGATAAAATGTAAGATAGTTTATTCCCTTAATATATACTTCCCAGATTACATTGGTGTTCTAATTGTGATATTGTCTCTTTGAGGATTGTTGTTAAGTGCTCTTGAGCTAGTTCCGCCTCATAGCGACCCTGTATAGGGTTTCCAAGAAGCAGCTGGTAGATTTGAACCACACACCTTGTGGTTAGCAGTCCAGTGCCTGTGCTACAACGCCTTAATTTTTAATTTTATAGTCTAATTTGATTTTTTTTTCCTCCATTAGAATGTGAAACATGTTGCAGAAGCATTCAAGAAGTGACTGAAGAGGAAGAAAAAAATACCACTGCCTAGCAGAAAACAAAACAAAACATGGGAAATACAACCACCAAATTCCGCAAAGCACTCATCAATGGCGATGAAAACCTGGCCTGCCAAATATATGAAAACAACCCTCAGTTGAAAGAATCCCTTGATCCAAACACATCTTATGGGGAGCCCTACCAACACAATACTCCGTTACATTATGCTGCTAGACATGGAATGAATAGAATATTAGGGTAAGTGTTACTGTAAATCAGTTGATAACAGATTGATGAGAGGATAAAAATATAGTATCTGAAAATATATAGATAGATAGATATGTGCATATTATATGGCTTCATAGTGAGCTAAACTTTCTAAACCTATACAATATATGCCTAAATTATTTAGTATGATTTTGTAATCAGACCTAAAATTAGACCCAGAATTTTAATAGTAAGACTTTCATATATTCTTGTTGGTGTAAATATATTTTGATTCTCGTTGTATATATTTTTGATGATAGTATAGTATTTCCTATCAACCAACAAAATAATTACAGGGAATGGTACCTGAGGCCAAGTTAGAAGCTGTGGTTAGGTAGTTTAAGTTGGGTTTGCCTTGTCTAGTCATGGTCAGATTTTAGTTTATCTTATTTTAATGCGGTTCAGTTACTTGAAAAGATTTTTTAAAGGCAAAACATTTCAACACTGCCAATAACTAAGAAATTAAAAAAACAATAAGTACAGTGAGAAACACAAATTCTCAATAAGGAAGAATTAGAGTGACATAGCAAATGTATTTATCTGAAGGTTCTCAGGTGTATGAATAGGGCTGCAAACCTTAAGGTCAGCAGTTCAAAACTACCAGCCGCTCCGCGGGAGAAAGATGAGGCTTTCTGCTACCATAAAGATTTACAACCTCGGAAACCCTGTGCAGGGTCGCTATGGGTCGGAACCGACTCGACGGCACTTAACAACAACAACACTTGTATTTTGGTACAGTGTCAAAGATGAATTCACAATTATATGATAAGAACTTTAAATACATTTTTCCCTTTTCTAACTACAAAAAAGGCCAGATTTTCTTTATATATATTAACCAAAAGAACATGTACCTGCAGATTGAAGGATGAGACTCCAGCTTCATCTATTAATCCAGATACTAAGGCATTTGTAAACATTTAAAACGCTGCCATTTTTCTCACTTTACCTTTTAAAAAGTAGTTATTTTTCATTGTAAAATGCTATGCATGTTTAATATGTTTAAAATGGATAAATA